AAGTGTGGGTTTCCCCAAAACAGGTGTGCATACCCCAATTTGGCCTGACTGCCGGGGACAGTGTTTGAACGATTCCTTACTTGGTTTCGGAACGCTTTTCTCGGGCCGGGTTCCTATGCTGCAGCAGTTATCGGGTTGATGTGGCTTCCGGAGCGGTGGTGTTATACTCCCCCCAAGATCTTTTTCCTTGAGCGAAATTTGCGTTTTTGGGCCCACCTCCCTATCTCCTTCGCGGTCTTCTTTGCCCTTCCCCGTTTTTCCTGACTTTGCATTTGGCAGGTTAATTTCGAGAAGCCAGTTGCAGACCAGGTGTCAGCCGTGTTTGCTTTGTGTGTGTGTGTTGTTCCATTTGGCCCTGGCCATTTCGTTTTTTAGACACTGGCCTTTTTGTAGTCATGCGTGTATGGTGTGTGTGGTGTGTGTGTGGTGTGTGTGTGTGGTTTTGTGTGTGTTGTGTTGTGTGGTGTGTATTTTGTGTGTGCGTGTGTGTGTGTGTGTATGTGTGTGTGTGTGGTGTACCCCTAATTGTACTCGCCTTTTTGTGGTTGCAGGGGTCGAGACTCGCTCCGGGCCCCGCTTTTCTTCACTGATGCTACTGGGTCCTCTCTCTCTCTGCTCCTGAGCTTTGTTACCTCTTCTTAAAATTGTATGGTTCCTGCCCCCATACTCACTTGCTAGGCTATTTCCACTTGCTAAACCTCTTGATTGAAGAAATACTTCCTAACGCCCCTCTGATGTCTGGTCTTCAGTTTCCGTTGTGGAACCTTGCCCCTTGCCCCCTCGGGAACATCCTATCTCTGTCCCCTGTCTTTCCCGCAGTATCTTGTATGTCGTTATCATGTCTCCCCTGCCCCTTTCTGTCCCCCAGTTCGTCAACCGTTTTTCCCCTTAACCTTTCCTCGTACGACATTCCCTTGGTCGGGACTGCCTTGTTGCAACCTTTGTACTTTCTCTAACTTCTTGACGTGCTTGCCAGGGGGTTTCCGAGGGGCGGCATACTCCGTATGGGCCTAACAACACGGTACAGTGTTTGAACGTTTCCCTTTTTAAGGTTGGGGAAGTATTCTCAGGTTTGCCAGGCGCCCGTTCGGCCAGTTTTTGGGTTGATGTGTCCCTCGGGACGTGCCGGTTTTGGTCACCCTAAGGCTTTCCCCCTGAGTGAGGTCTGTAGTTTTGCCCACCTACCCTATACTCTGTCGGGGTTTTCTTTCCCCCCCCCAATTTCATGACTTTGCTTTTGGCAGGGTTAAATTCGAGAAGCCATTTTCTGGACCAATGTCCACCTGTCCAGGCTCTTTGCAGTCCGCCTCTCCTCATCCGTTTTTAATTCTTCCATCAGCTTCACTCTCGCGAGGGGGAAACACTTCAGAGTTATTCCTTTCATCAGTCGTTGAAATTATCAAAAATTGATGGTCCTAGAACTGCCCCCGGGGCCCCCGTAGTACAGGCCCCCACTTTTTATCCCTCTTCACGTCCCATGACTCTTGTTGCCCCCCTTCGGATTCCTGATCCATTGCAGTGCCTCCCTGTTATAGCGCCTGATCCTCCAGTTTCTCCTAATCTCTTGTGGGAACTGTGTCAAAGGCCCTTCCCGGGCAGTCTAGGAAAATGCAATCAGCCCCCCTCTTTTCCGTGTCTTACTTTATTACCTTGTCAAAAAAATCCATTTTTTTGAACAATTTCCCCTTATGAAACCATCGGGTTTTTCTTTTAAAATCTTTTTCTGTTCCGGGTGTTCCATCATCTCCCCCTGAAAATTTCCCCATACTTTGCACAAAATACGCTGGGCCAAGGTCTGTTTTTTAGGCCTCATTTCATTTCCTTTTTTAAAATTTTGGGGATTCCCATTTGTGCTTCCATTCTCGGTAGTTGCCCAGTTTCCGGGGATGTTTGAAGATTGGGTTGGGGGCACGACAGCATCCTTCTTCTTAAGGACCCACGGGAGTGTTTCCGGGCCCATCGCCTTTGAGGTATCAAAGGGCATTTGCAGCTTCTGCACCTCCACTCGGTTGTTCGTAGTCACCCCAAAATTGTTGGTATTTTCCCTTTTATGTTTCCCCCCTTTTGGCTGTTTCCCAGGCCCTTCCTGTCTTTTTAAAAACTTCCTTTTAAATCTATGTTTAGCTCCTCACATACCTCCTGAATTTTTTTGTGAGTTTCCACCTTCTGTCCTCAGTCGATCACCCGGTCTTTTACTGTTGCTTCCTCCTGATGTGGCTTTTCAACAGTTTCGGGTCAGTCTTGATTTTGATGCAGCTATTTTTTATACTGTCGCTGGGCTCCCTCCTTCCCGTGCATACTAGTTCCTGACTTGCACTAATCCCTATTTTCTGTGTTTTGCCCTTTTGTAATTTTTTTCCCTTCTCTATTGCACTTTGTTTTTTTCCTCCTTTCAACGTGGTAAAAACCCGGGCTCGTTTTGGTCTTACCATTGTTTCTGTTTCCTTGGAATAAACCCTTTCCCCTGCCTCCTTTCATTTTTTGTTACTATCCCTTTATTTTATTTATGGTTTCCTGCCGTTCTCTGTCCACGGAACCTCCTGCAAAACCCAACACTTGTAGTCCCCCCTTTTAGTCGGCTTTTTCCCTTCAAATCCTGTTACTGTCTCACTTTCAAATCTATGTTTAAAAGCACAAACCACGTGGTCACGTATGCGTGTGGGGTGTGTGTGTGTGTGTGGTTGTGTGTGTGTGTTGTGTGTGGGGGGGTGTGGTGTTGTGTTGTGTGTGTGGTTGTGTTTTTGTATGCGTGTGTGTGTAGCAATTTTTGTGTATATGTGTGTGTGGTGTGTGTGTGTGTGGTGGGGTGTGTGGGTGTGTGTGTGCATGCGTGTGTGTGTTATGCATGTGTGTGTGTGTTATATAATATATTGTGTGTGTGTACTCATAGTTGACCATTAGGTTTTCAGGGGTCGATTCTTTGTCTGGCCACGCCTCTCACTAGTCGCTACGAGTCACTCTCCCCGAACCCTGAGCCCTTTCCATCCTCTGCTAAAGTATGTATGGATCCCGCCCCACTAAACGCTTCCAAATATTCCATTTTCCTGACTCCTGTGACTGAAAAAAAATTTTCCAACCCCTGTGTTTATCTGTGTCTTCAACTTCCAACTGTGCCCCCTTGTTGCTGTGCCTTTCCTGGAACATCCGCTTTTTCCCCTTGTAAATTTCCTCTAAGTTTTATATGCTTTATCGCTCCCTATCTATTCTTCCTCCACTGCGTCGGTCGTTTTCCCAAAAACCTTCCTGTAGGACATACCCTTACCTCTGCGACTAGTTTTTGCAAACCTTTGCCCTTTCTCTAGTTTTTTTAGTGCTTGGAGATAGGGGTTCCAAACGGGTGCCGCATGCCCCAATAGGGGCCAAAAGACACAGTGTACAGGTCCTAAATGTTTCCTTATAAGAGTGGAATGCTTTTCTTGGTTTTTTAGGTACCCATATGCTGCAGCATTTATTCGTTTGATGTGACCTCAGGAGATGTCCCGGGGGTTTAACTCACCCAAAGATTTTTTTCCCTTTTGAGTGGGGTTTTGTATTTCGGGCCCCTTAGCTGTACTCCGTCTGCGGTCTTCTTTCCCCTTTCCCCCCAATTTTTCTGACTTTGCATTGGGTTAAAACCCCAGGACCCAAATTGTGGACCAGGTCTGCACCGGGCCGACCCCTTTGTAGTTCGCTGGTTTGTCCGACTGAATTTTTCTCATCTGAAAACAGTGACACTTCAGGTTTTTCCCTTCGCCAGTCTTTCACAATCCCAAAACGCACTGGTCCTAGGACTGACCCCTGTGGACCCCACTCTCACAGGTCCCCACTCTGACACCTCCCACGCACTATGATCGCTTTGTCTTTCCCCAAGATTTTCTAAACCATTGTTGGCCTTTCCCGTTACCCCGCCTGGTCCCCAGTTTTGCACTAATTCTTTTGTGGAAATGTGTCAAACGCCTTCTTAAGCCCAAAAAAATGCAATTTCCACCCCTTTCTCTTGTTTTATGCTGTCACCCTGTTCGAACAAGTAGGTTTTTTGATACGGATTTCCCCCCCTGAAACCATTTGGCTGCTATTTATGAGATATTTCCTTTTTAGGGGTTCCACCCCTCTTCTCAAATAATCTTTTCCATGACTTTGCTACTAACATGTCATGACACTGGTCTGATTTATGCTTCATGTCGTCTCCTTTTTTGAAAATTGGGACTACATTCGGTGTTTCTATACCCCAGGTAATTCCCCCGTTTCGATAGATGTGTTGAATATTGTTGTTAGGGGCCATAGCGCCTTTTTCCCTCTTCAGGACCCATGGAGAGATGTTATCCGGTCCCATTCTTCGAGGGATTTAGCTCATCAGAAACCTTTCTGTGGGGGGTGTGGTGTTGTGTGGTGTGGTGTGTGTGTGTGTGTTGTGTGTGTGTGGTGTGTGTGTTATGTGGGTTTTTGTTGTGTGTGTGTGTGTGGGTGTGTTTTGGTATGTGTGTGTGTGTGTGTGTGGTGTGTGTGTGTTTTAATGTGCGTGTGTGTTTGTGTGTGTGTGGTGTTGTGTGTGTGTGTGTGTGTGTGTGTGTGTGTGTTGTGGGGGGGGGGGGTGTGTGTGTGTGTGTGTGGGGGTGTGTGTTGAGTGTGTGTTGTGTTGTGTTGTGTGAGGTGACAACAAACCTCACCTGTGGTGTTATCAGTCGTGCAGTTGGTCCACTGTACAGTGTTGTTGTGACTCCTGAGGTAAAGTGTTGGGTGGAATATAGCGAACTTTTTGCTACAGTTGTTACCCAGCTCCGGGACCAACACGGTGATATTTGTGAAGTTTTTATCATCAACCTGCAATCGTATATTATTTTATTTAAAAATAAATTATGCATTATTTATTTCGTTAATATGGTAAAATTAATGTTCAGAAAAAAAAGAAGCAGCCCGGAAAAAAAAGAAATAAAAAATAAGTTGAAAATATGAAGGGGAAAATGGCAAAAAGAAATAAATCGAAGGAATATTATCAAAGCGTAAATTATATTTTTTCTTCATATATAAATACACAACATAATTAAACATTATTCATCATGACAACAAACATTTTCTACATTTAACTGTTAAAACTACAACATAAAAACTATGTACTGACTGAGCGAGTTATAATCAAGTTGTGCCAGACGTCTGGGATGTTAAAGTTAACTGTACACATAATATTATATGTTCCTTGTGGAGTAATATATGCCACGTCTAGGAGTGCAGGTGTTGTCAGAGGCTTGACCCAACTCTGGTTGTTGTTGTTAGTGATGCGTATTGTCTTCCCAACATCTGAAAGGTTCTCTGTGATACATCCTGCAAAAAAAAAAAAAAAGTTGATGGTAAAATTAACGAAAAAGTGAATTGTTAACTGAAAATTATTATTTTGTGAACTTCGTGGCACGTTTAACACTTTTGCTGAGATTATTATTATTATTATTATTATTATTATTATTATTATTATTATTATTATTATTATTATTACTATTTTATTACTTTTATTAGGGGTTATTATTCATTTTAGTATTATTTTTACTTATTATTATTCTTATTATTATTAAAGATTAACCGGTATTCTCCCGGCCCGGGCCATTTCCAAGTGGTGGCCCGGCCTTGGCTCCCTCTTTAGGGAGTGTCTGAGACCTAAGTCTCCCATGGGAGGAGGCACAAGTACCTCCTCATCTTTGGGACCAACTGTCCCCAGGCCTAGCCACAAGCTAGGCCTCGCTGGTCTGCCATCCCCGCCCCAAGGGGGCTAATGGGAATGGCAGTCTTGTGAGCTGCAAGCTCGGGCTCAGGCACCTACCCTGCCCTAGAAGGGCTGGGCATGGTGTCGATGAGAACTATTAAAAACAAATAATTATTTGTATTTTTTGTTTGCACATTTAGCACCATTGCATTTTTATATATTATTATTTCATTATTATTATTATTATTATTATTATTATTATTATTATTATTATTATTATTATTATTATTATTATTTATTATCAATTTTACTATTATTAATTTTATTATTTTATCATTATTATTCCCCTCAAGGGAGGTTCCTTGACACTGGTGAGGGGCTCTTGATTTAGGGAATTGGATCTGTGCTCCAGTTCCCTGAATTAAGCCTGAATACTTTCCATCCTCCTCACAGGCGCTGTATAATCCTACGTGTTTAGCGCTTCCCCATGATTACAATAATAATAATAATAATAATAATAATAATAATAATAATAATAATATTATTATTATTATTATTATTATTCATCTTCAATTTTATAACTGTAGTATAAGCACGCCTCTGGCAAGACAGTGATGGAGTGAATGATGGTGAAAGTTTTCCTTTTTCGGGCCACCCTGCCTTGGTGGGAGACGACCAATATATTAATAAATAAAATAATAATAATAATAATAATAAAAATAATAATAATAATAACTAGTATTATGATTATTATTATTGGGAAGAGATAAACCCGTAGGTTTCATACGTCGCCTGCGGAATATAAGATAATCAGGTCAGAAACAAGAAAGTGTATAGTAGCTCCAGTTCCTTGACTCCAGAGCTCCTCAGCTTTAAGGTATATCCTCTGAAATTATACCAAAAACGTGTTAACAATCTCTTAAAAATGGCTAACTTCCAAACTTCAGCGAAGCTACATTATTTCAAGCCAAATATTTCAGTTTTAGAGGCAACAAAGTTGTGTCCAACACAGGTAATCCAAAGTGAACTTGAAGAGCATTTAGCACACACCTGAATGGTGTTTAATTCCCAGGAAGGAATGAGACGTATTTAAGGGTTTCTTTGACTCTGTTGTTCACTCAGCTTAAAACAGGTACTTGGGTGTTAGCAGTGTTTTGCATACTTTTAATTGCGATAATATACCTCAGATAAGAGTGGGCTTTAAAATTTACTGAGGTAAGATAACGCTTCTTAACCACTAAATTGATGTGTGAAATAAAATTATGTTCCAGTCTAACGTAGAAAAAACAAAGTAGTGTACAATAAGTGTGGATATGTTACGATAAAAAGTGTGTGAGTGTGATGTCAGGAAGTCTCTGCTGCACTGCCTTCATATAGCCCGGATGTCAGGAAGTCTCTGCTGCACTGCCTTCATATAGCACGGATGTCAGGAAGTCTCTGCTGCACTGCCTTCATATAGCCCGGATGTCAGGAAGTCTCTGTTGCACTGCCTTCATATAGCCCGGATGTCAGGAAGTCTCTGCTGCACTGCCTTCATATAGCCCGGATGTCAGGAAGTCTCTGCTGCACTGCCTTCATATAGCCCGGATGTCAGGAAGTCTCTGTTGCACTGCCTTCATATAGCCCGGATGTCAGGAAGTCTCTGCTGCACTGCCTTCATATAGCCCGGATGTCAGGAAGTCTCTGCTGCACTGCCTTCATATAGCCCGGATGTCAGGAAGTCTCTGCTGCACTGCCTTCATATAGCCCGGATGTCAGGAAGTCTCTGTTGCACTGCCTTCATATAGCCCGGATGTCAGGAAGTCCCTGTTGCACTGCCTTCATATAGCCCGGATGTCAGGAAGTCTCTGCTGCACTGCCTTCATATAGCCCGGATGTCAGGAAGTCCCTGTTGCACTGCCTTCATATAGCCCGGATGTCAGGAAGTCTCTGCTGCACTGCATTCATATAGCCCAGATGTCAGGAAGTCTCTGCTGCACTGCCTTCATATAGCCCGGATGTCAGGAAGTCTCTGCTGCACTGCCTTCATATAGCCCGGATGTCAGGAAGTCTCTGCTGCACTGCCTTCATATAGCCCGGATGTCAGGAAGTCTCTGCTGCACTGCCTTCATATAGCCCGGATGTCAGGAAGTCCCTGTTGCACTGCCTTCATATAGCCCGGATGTCAGGAAGTCCCTGTTGCACTGCCTTCATATAGTCCGGATGTCAGGAAGTCTCTGCTGCACTGCCTTCATATAGCCCGGAAGTCAGGAAGTCTCTGCTGCACTGCCTTCACATAGCCCGGATGTCAGGAAGTCTCTGCTGCACTGCCTTCATGTAGTCCGGAAGTCAGGAAGTCCCTGTTGCACTGCTTTCATATAGCCCGGATGTCAGGAAGTCCCTGCTGCACTGCCTTCATATAGTTCGGATGTCAGGAAGTCCCTGCTGCACTGCCTTCATATAGCCCGGATGTCAGGAAGTCCCTGCTGCACTGTCTTCATATAGCTCGGATGTCAGGAAGTCCCTGCTGCACTGCCTTCATATAGCCCGGATGTCAGGAAGTCTCTGCTGCACTGCCTTCATATAGCCCGGATGTCAGGAAGTCTCTGCTGCACTGCCTTCATATAGCCCGGATGTCAGGAAGTCCCTGTTGCACTGCCTTCATATAGCCCGGATGTCAGGAAGCCTCTGCTGCACTGCCTTCATATAGCCCGGATGTCAGGAAGTCTCTGCTGCACTGCCTTCATATAGCCCGGATGTCAGGAAGTCTCTGCTGCACTGCCTTCATATAGTCCGGGTAGCAGCATTTTCCTACAATCGCAACTGCTCTTTGACTCTGTTAGTATATAAATATAACTTTGTGATAAAATGCGAACTCCAATTACCTGGAGTCTGTTAACATTGAGTCATGTTAAGCGAGAAGCAGATTATCTGAATTTTTGCTCATTTATCTAACATATATATATATATATTATATATATATATATATATATATATATATATATATATATATATATATATATATATATATATATATATTTATATATATATATATATATATATATATATATATATATATATATATATATATATATATATATATATATATATATACTGAAAAGAAAAGTGAAGGGATTCAGGGAAACCGGTTATTTTTATATAACCGGACTTGAGTACTGGAAATGGGATGTACAATACCTGCACTTTAAAGGAGGGGGGTTTGGGATATTGGCAGTTTGGAGGGATTTATTATAAATCTTTATGTACGCTTCTAAACTGTTGTTTCTGGGCGACCCTGCAAAGACAGTGATTATGTGTGAGTGAGGTGAAAGTGTTGAACGATGATGAAAGTATTTTCTTTTTGGGGATTTTCTTTCTTTTTCGGTCACCCTGCCTCGGTGGGAGACGGCCAACTTATCGAAATAATATATATATATATATATATATATATATATATATATATATATATATATATATATATATATATATATATATATATAATGTCGTACAGGGTTCTTAAGGAGATAACGAGGGTTGAAGGTAGACACACTTGTTGGATGGTAACGATATATATATTGTCAGACTGTGGTAAGGAAAGGATGAGCCCAGCCTGCCGTGTCACTGCCTGGATGTCTATACGCCGACTGAGAGTGAGGCAGCTCGTCTCACTGCCTCAAGCTGTACCCCGTGATGTCATACAGTCACAGGCCTAAGGGATCTTCTATATAAAGCACATGGATGGTACTATAATACGCTATACAACACATATAAGGGGATCAGCAACTATGCTGACAGCTCGGTCATTTTACGTATGTCGTCTCGACATACACTACTATGCTATAGGCTGAACAGGCAGGTGGTTCTGGGCTGATTCTATACAATAACAAATTCATATATAACTTAGAATTAATGGATGGTATCATACTGGATGTTAACAAAATGAGTTTCATTGTAATGCATTACGACTTATTAGAACAAATAATGGTACAATATGAAATGGAATTGATCGATCGATCTGTATTCATGTACTCTACGGATTCTGAGGAAATATATATATATATATATATTATATATATATATATATTATATATTATATATATATATATATATATATATATATATATATATACAAGGTGAAATTAACAGCAAAGGCATCTGGTGCGCACTCAGATCATTACTGTCAAATTCTCAGAATACGGAGGGAACGTGAACACGAAAAAATAAAATTCTGAAAAACTGATCAGTTAATAACAAACAGTTGACAATTTCCTTCATCTCAGACATCTAATTATACAGGCTATGTACATTTAAACCCAATTCTGCGAGGGTGAGGTTTACATATGCAGAATGATTATCATCTCTGGGAGGATCGAATTCCTCTGCAATGGCTAACACATGCCTTCACTGAGGGAGATCTGAACGAGTATCTACAAAAGATATTTGTGGGTTTCTCATTACTTGTCGAGTACGCAAGGAGTAACGACATTCAGGTTGAATATCTGACTGAGTATTTGAGGCAGAGGGTACAGAGTCAAGAGGATTTTCAGCATCTGTCACATTAGTCTGGGTAGCAATATCATCAACATTGCATACTAATTTCATATGATCTAAATGCGATTCTTTGCACTTACCAGTACTAATTTCTCTA